CAAAGATTCTTTAAAATTTAAAAGTTCCTTCCTTATATCATGGATCATCCGACACGGATTTAATCGAAACTTGACAATTTGATTGCACATCTACTAAAAAACAGTGTATTGGGAATCCAACCCAAAGACTAAATTTTCCGCTCTTTGAAGATACCCCACAGTTGGGCTGTTTTTTTTCTTGGAAAGTTCAGACGATTTTGGCAATTGAACATATTTTGAATATTTTATAGTTCCAAAATTTGATCTTTGTAGAATTTTTGAAACTCAAATTTGGTAAGTTATTTCTTGATCGTAATAGACAAAAACAGGTCAAGAGCTTTGTCGTTCAATTACACTTCACAATTTAAAGTCACAAACAATAAACAATTATCAGCTTTTTTATAATGCCGCTTTAGCATTAAAATACTTAAATATCCAACTTTACGCCCCAAATACATGCAAGTTTAACTTTCACATTTACATTTACTGTTTAGTAAATAAATATAAAAAATGATTAAACTGAAATCACCCAAACTGTTCTAAAATGCAGAATTGCTTAAACATGACGCTGTTTTTTTTAACGAAAGTGAAGATGGGTGTAAATTTTAGCTGATAGACCCTAGGTTCGCTCAACTAAGCATCCATAGCCTTCAAATTGCATTTCCTTTTTGTTCCATGGTTGTCTATGACAAGTAGTACAAGTTTAGTCCCACACCAAGGTCACTGTTTTTTTTGATGACTTAACTGAAATAAAAAATCCCTAATGGAAAAACCTGAACGGTATAAACCAAAACCGAACACAACGGCACGAGAATTTGGAGAATACTGAAGAGGAAAAAACCATTAGGGATTTCCGCCAAAGTTCCGGGACCCTTAGAAACAAGAATCTTTACTTACCTTTGCAACGATGCAAATACCAAAAAAAAAGAAACAAGCGTCAATTTCTCAAAAGACACCTTCAAGTCCAAAAATCTTTCAAGTATTTTAGTTGTGGATATAATTCGCCATTTTTAACGTACATACAACTTACGTACAAACCGCCACATTTTAGTTTTACCGCACGTAAACCGATCAGCGAACTCGACAATTTCCTACTTTGGACGAGAAAATTGTGTAATTTGGATGGGAATTTCTTTTAACGTGTGTTTTTCTTATCTAATCCACATCCGAATCAGTCGCACCTAGCGCCACCTTAGCAGTCCCTATTTTGCACCGTTTCAATCAGTGCTTTACGCGCCCGGTGCCACTAACGCTTAAAGTTGGAGCAAGCGCTTGCTGCATGACATGGATCAGATAAATGTACTTCAAAATATTTTAAGCAGACAGACGAAATTCAATATTATTTGATACAATTTAGAACACTTGAAGAAGCACACGTTAAGTTTGGTTACCGAAGGACCGTCGATGGTTTAACCAAACAACTGGCGGCGCTTGATTTAAGTTATGTTTTAGTTTGACAGTTATCACATAGATGACTAGATAGCAACGCGAATGATGAACATGGAAACCATCGTGTAACTATTTTGTATCATATGTGACAACGTCTGCTGTTTGTCTTCATTGTAACCATCAAAGAAAACAAACATTGTGCTTTTATTAAAACTATGTTTCGTGTTAGTTTGGTTAACATGAAGCCATTCCGCATACTTAGACCAGGTGTACTAAACATTTTTTATGCCTGTTTTTGCTGTGGCTTGCCGCATCGAAATTCCCAGGAATGAAGTTTTCTTAATAAGAAAACAACACATCCATTTTTACATTTACAGTAATTGCCACGCCGCTCCTAAACTGTAAATGTCTTGACAAACTGAAGACTATTTGAGTTTCAATTTGTCGATTTGAAAATGACTGACAAGATTAAAGTTTCCTTCGAAAGATTTTGAAAAATTTAGTCATTTTTCTTGATAGTGGAGTTCATCCTTTAAGGTTCTAACCCCATACTCATTATCTAAGCGTAGCAACTGCTGGCTGCAACTACAACGCATGCCTAAGCTATCTAAACTTCCTACCTGCGCATAGCACCGGAATTCCGCCCTGAAAAGAAATGCCCCTTGAAGGAGGTAACCCATCATGCCCTTAACTTAACTTAACATTGTGCATGTTGCACCTACGGGCGACCTCCAACCTGGGTGGGTTGAACTACTCATGCATTATAGGGGATCCATGCAGGAGTGCCTTAATAGTCAATGTAGAAAGCCGTTCATGAAATTGGCCAACTACAACGACTGCATGCTCTTACCGTACTAGGGGAGAGATATTTTTCTTTCCACCAAAACCACATTCTTCCCTTGGTCTTCAATAGGCCTTGCTCGCTTGATCCAGTCTTCAAAGGTTTTCTTACAGATGCTATTTGCATCCTCTATGCTAAGGTACCATTTGTACCCACTAACCCCAAGTTGAAGTTGCCTTCCTTGGGCCAAACTTCACTTGCATTTCCGATTCTAAGCTATGGCCCTGTTTATCCTTCTGCGAGGCAACAACCGCTGCGATCATGCGTAGCTCCTTAAAGCAGTATATTCACACAGAGGTTTTTCGAAGTTAAATTATATAGAACAACACAATTGTTGCATGCTAGTCACAAATTCACGCTTACTAAGACACAAATTTTAAAAATAAATAAAGCGGCACCGATAAACACTATTAGATTATTTTAACCAAAAGAACACTTTTATTTCCTCTTAATCAAGACTATTTTTGAAAATGCAGATGTAAATTTCTTTAAATATACTTATTTGCATTCCCGCATTAAAAAAAATAGCCTTACAGTGGAATATACTGAACACCAGGATTTGTTGTGGCAATTGCCAGAATTATACTAGAGATTTGACCTGTTAACAGGCCTAACTAAATAAAAGGTTTATTATTATTACACTTACGGTTTTCGACGAATCCTTGGCAGTTCGACGACAGACTACGATGAATGACAAATCTCATGCCAATTGGAAAGATGAAACGATCGGATGTTGAGCAAGGACAGCCACAAAAAAGCCCAAAATAATTTTTTTAAAAATTCAGAACGTTGATGGTGAAATCATAGTATCTAATTTTCAGGCTACCTGACAAACATCACCGCTTTTATGTCGACGACGGCAAGCACAGAAACAAGATTGACCATTTCTTGCAACTGTGCATGTCGTCTACGGCATTAAATCGGAAATATCGACAGCCAGTCGGAAAATTAGGATTTTTAGGTTTTTTATTTTCATGTTAAAGAAATTCCATGTTTTTATTACAAAAATTTTCAATTAAATAATTTTGAAATTTGGGCATTTGATAGCGGCGTGGTTTTCTCCATCATTGCGATTGATTGACCAGTCGTGATGTTAGGAGGAAAACTCCCAGGAAAATGTTTTAGAAAAGGTCATAATATTGACTATTCCATGGAAACAGGCGTTAGGCTGATGGATGCATTGCTCCAGAAGAGTGTTTAGCGTTTGCATTCTTTGTAGAGATGGTCTTTAGGGCATTAGAAGTCACGTATTTTTCAATTTCATCAAAGTATATTGTTCATTCTTGATCATTATTCAGAAGATTTTCATTAAAGTATATTGTTCATCTTGATCATTCTTCAGAGGACTCGTTAAAGTATGCTGTTCATTCTTGATTATTGTTCAGATGATTTCATTAAAGTACGTATATTGTCCATTCTTGATCAGAAGGTTTGTACATAGGACAATTGAAGCCAATGTCAGTTCACACTATACTTCCATAAATGAAAAACATTGATAACTTACTTACATTGAGCATTTTATTCACTAGTAATGTAGTTCAAGGGAAGAAGAATTTCCACCAAATTACAGAATTGTATTTTGTTCTTATGTTTAGATGAGCGTCGAGGAACTGGTCGACAACAGCCACAATTCTCTTCAACCGCTGTGAACAATAACCACTTTCTTTAATGTGGAGTCTACGATCATGGTAAATACACCAACATTTGTTTGTTGTTTCTTAATCTCATTTGATGACTAATTGTCGCTAAGAGAAGAATGTCCACGTCTAAAATCAAGCATAGAGGAAACAAAAGTTACTAAGACGGAAACTTTATGGGAAGGCCACACTGCACTTTGCATTAATGAACATCACATGCAGTGTCCCAATTCTATGTTTACTCAATGCAAAAGAACTTGAAACAAGACATTTACCTGAACATTTTTTCAAAGCACGTCAAGAGATATTTCACCGTGGAATAATTTCGACTTCGGCTAACTATTCTTCGTGCAGCTACAGACTTTCACGTTCAAATGGCACGTTCTTAGTATGAGACTATGGCCCGAGTTTCACGAACGTGTTGTATTCTGATTGGTCAGTGACTAGGTGTGTTGTAAACGTGTTGTGTTCTGATTGGTCATTTACTAGGTGTGTCGTAAACTGTTGTGTTCTGATTGGTCATTTACTAGGTGTGTCGTCAATTGTACATTGTGAAATTTAGAATTTGCATGATTCATCACTTAGAAGTAATTAATCCCCATAGAGCGGTAAATGCAATTTAATAAAATATAAATAAAAACGTATACTTCAGCTACAGCAAATAGCAAATCCCAAACATTTAAGTCTCCTTGGGGAACAACTACAGCTGAATCATGCAAATTCTAAAGGTCCACTGATGTCAAAAATGATTTGATAAACCCTCTAGATTGTTATCTTCATCTCATTTTCTTATTGTATTTATTTGCATTAACATTTGATCTCTTTTATTTAGCATTCTACAGGGTGTACATAAAAACGACGTTTGGCAATTAAACTACTGTAAAATTTCGAAACCCAATCACTGTGCTAACCTCACTAGTGCATTACATTTTCAATGGAGGAAAATCTTTTGTGCTTGCATCAACGTAGCTAACAATGTTCCATGCACCTGTGGGCTTGGCGTAGTGACAGACTTTGAAATTAAAAAAAAAAATATAAAATATGGTGCCAGGTGTGGAAATTCTTCTTTAAATGATTATCTCGACGCTGCTCCACGTAATGCGACTTATAGATCAAAGACAACACAGAATCAGTTGATCGAAATTTGTGGAGACATGCTATCATCTAGAATTGTTGAAGAGGTTAAACATGCAAAGTATTTTTCTATCTTGATGGATGAAGCCACAGATTGTGCAAATATCGAACAGATGTCTTTGGTTATTCGCTTTGTGGACAAGCAGTTCTTAATTCGTGAAGATTTCCTTGGATTTATTCCATGCACAGAGGGCCTATCTGGTGAAGGTAGCTAATGCAATTTTAAAACACCTTAAACGTTTAAAATTGTCAATTGATTATTGTCGTGGTCAAGGCTATGACGGAGCAGGGAACATGGCCGGTAAATATTCTGGTGCAGCCCGAATAATGGCTATTCAAGAGAAAGCAGTGTATGTGCATTGTAATTCGCATATTCTTAATCTTTGTATTGCATCATCTTGTAAAGAACAGCTCGTACGAAATATGATGGATGCAGTTCGTGTGACGTCCGAGTTCTTTCGATTTTCCCAAAACGTTTTGATTTGCTAAAGAAGATAATTAAGAAAGAACTGCCCAACTGCCGTCACAAAGTTATTATCGACGTTTGTAAGACCAGGTGGGTGGCAAGGATTGACGGTTTATTAAATTTTATCGAAGCTTTCCCGGCTATTGTTCAATGTTTAGACGAAATCAAGGATAATGTTGACGGGCACTGGAATGACGGATCAACTGAAAAAGCTAACGGTCTCTATCACAGCATCGTCAATTTTCAGTTTATTTTGGTCCTTGTAATTGTTTCCGGCTTTCTGGAGATAACCAGACCACTTACTGTTCAGTTACAAGATTCTAGTCTAGATGCAAATGCAGCTCGTGAAAAGGTTTCTCTTTTGTTCGTTATGTTGGAGAGGTTCCGATCTGATATTGAAAGAAAGCATGAAACGTGGTTCAAGAATGCTGCTGACCTTGCTGAAGCTGTTGGTACTCTCAGAGCCCTCTATAGTATAAGAGTTGGGACATCTATTGTTATCCGTATAGCTTACGTTGATTGGGCAATATTAATCACCTGATCAATTCCGCCATTTTGGTTCCTAGTTTTGAAATTTTATCTTGTGTTTATATAGCAATTGCTGCTAGTAATACAGTATTTTGAGATAATATTGCGTTTTTTTATGGATAAGTGTGTAATAACTGATTGTTGAAGGCTACTAAATGTCATTACATATCGCATAAATCGAGGATTACGAAAAAAATGAAAGAAATGCCTTTACGTCGAACTTACGAAATTGGATTGCGTATGGTGATTGTTGTGCTGAACTGCTTTTGATATAAGGTTCAATTAACTGACTCAAGTAGAGAAACATTTTTGGGCCAAATAACATTGCAAAGTTCGTGCTGATGCAGTTTCAATAGTTTTCTTACTCCAAAGCTTGTTTTTTAATCGAAGATGATTTCTCATTATGTTCTGAAATTGGTCAATCTACAATCCTCTCAATTCTCAGCCACTTCCACACTAAAACAAACAACTACACTAAATCACAGAAACTCTTATGATTTTCCATGTTGTATTTTGTATTTTTAGTTCATCATTTAAAAATGAATTATAATTAGGATATTCATTGAAACAGCTGAGTACAATATATTTTTGGTAATGAATTGTACAAATGTACCCTACTTCTGTAGCTCAAAGTAGAACATTACTTCTCTTCTAGACTTTTCAATGATATTTTAATAGTAGGTTTTGTTTATAAGATCACAGAGGCATATCTCCATAATTTCAGCTATTTGGGCTTTTAATGTATATTACAACTGTTGCTGCCTTTCTCATATATATTAAAATATTGCTGGCTTTCTGATATATATTTAGGTGCTGCTAGCTTTTTGATATATATATTTCACTGGCAATACAAGGCATAGAATTTGAACAAACGGGGCTGAGCCCCCTTCAACACACCCCTGTTTGATCATTAAACACTTATAGAAGTTTTGTCATTCCTCAACCAATAAATTTAACTCTTTGCTAAATTAAAGATTGGATCAGACTCATATGCTGTATAAAAGACTACAAACAGTACCATTTATAGCAAACAGACTGTTCTTCAACAACAGAAATGTTTCATATTATAGAAATAATATATTCATTTTAAAAAAATGCTTCACCAAAATTTTCAGCAGAATCCCTAACAAACTTTATTAGAAATAAACTTTAATACTTTATAAAGTGATAAAGGCGAAATAACTTCATATAAAGGAATAAAGCGTTTAAGGTCAAATGCATCTTGGTCAAATCATTGCATATTTCAATAACTAAAAGTAAAAAGTCTGTCATTTTCTGCTGAGCAAGAAAATTTTGTGATCTTTCAGAATAAAAATATCATGCTTGGATTAAATTGGGGGCATAAATCACTCACTACCATTAAATTGTTACAAATCTTGAACACAAATCTCTCCGGACCAAATCTGCATGATTACTATGATTCAAAGTTTCGAACAAAGTCTTGTCCAAGTATTTGATAACACTGATGCCAGGATAACATTGCCGCTTGCCACCAAGCTTCAAGTCGGAACATAAGCCGAGAAAACACGTTCACGTACGAAAAATACTTCTTACAATGGGTCACGATCAATTTGAAGCACGAACTAGTAAACCGCAAACGAAGCTCAAACCAATGAAATTAAATCAGGTCTGCCGCAAATCGTTAAAAAAACGCAGAGCTTGCTATTATTCCTAATATATTTGATACTACCATGGAATAAGCTTAAATTGCTTTCTTCTTTTGCATATAAACCCAATTTCCAATAGTATTATTATAGTTTCAATTTGCAAGTAGGAACCAAAATGGCGGCTCCGCGCTCGCCCCAGACCGTTTGTCCCAACTCTTATACTATAGAGGGCTCTGGGTACTCTTCCTTCTAAGCCACGAACAACTCGTTTACAGAGTCACAGACCCAATACTCCAGCAGAGTCCATTTTGGAGTATTATCGTAGGGTTGTGTCCATTCCTTTCCTGGATCATCTTATTTCGGAAATTAAAAAACGCTTTTCTGAAAGAAACTTAAACATTTTGGATGCCACATATGGAATGCCAAAAAATGTTTTGTCGAATCCAGAGGGATGGAAAGAAAGATTTTCTCAGTTTCTTAACAAATATAAAGACGACCTTCCCCAGCCTCGTCTTCTTCCCACCGAGCTTGAAATGTGGTTTGAAAAATGTCGTTTATCTAAAGATAGCTTGCCGTCTAACCTCGGCGATGTTTTGAAGTTTGCAGACAAGGCCACTTTTCCTAACATATTAACTGGTTTTCTAATATTCGCAACAATTCCAGTAACTACTTGTACATGTGAACGATCCGTTTCTACCCTAAGACGACTTAAAACATATTTGCGAAATTCCATGTCAGAAAGTCGATTAAGTGCTTTAGCTATGTTAAATGTCCATCGCGAAATCCCGCTTGATATTGACGAGGTTATCGATTTATTTGCAAAAAAACATCCAAGGAGAATTATCTTGCGTGATGTTATAATTATGATTGATAACTTTGGCTTTTCTAATCCAGTCATCGGCTAATCTTGGTGGTTGCCAAAGCTTGCTCACTTTTGCCAATAAGAAACATGTTGGGTTTCGCAGTATCTTAGCGAAAAAATGATCGAATATGGCTTAAAATTCAAAAAGTTGAAGTCACCATCCACAACTTGTTAGGTAGAGGGAATAAAATCTCTTGACGGAATTCTTGATGCCTATGCTGTGATTTACAATGCATTGGATTATAGGAGTGGTATTACCAACAAAAAAAAAGAATAACATTTATTATTACTTGTTCCCTGCCTTTAATACGATGATTACATCTTGAACATTTCTTTGCTATATCTACGTATCTTTTCCTGCTGCTGTTGGAGGAATGATATTATCAATGAAAGAAGAAGAAGAACATTTATCATTACTTGTTGCCTGCCTTTCGTACGATGATTACATCTTGAACATTTCTTTGCTATATCTACGTATCTTTTCCTGCTGCTGTTGGAGGAATGATATTATCAATGAAAGAAGAAGAATAACATTTATCATTACTTGTTGCCTGCCTTTAGTACGATGATTACATCGTGAACATTTCTATGCTATATCTACGTATCTTTTCCTGCTGCTGTTGGAGGAATGATATTATCAATGAAAGAAGAAGAAGAACATTTATCATTACTTGTTGCCTGCCTTTCGTATTGACATCTACATCTTGAACACTTTATATCTACGTATCTTTTCCTGCTGCTGTTGGAGGAATGATATTATCAATGAAAGAAGAAGAATAACATTTATCATTACTTGTTGCCTGCCTTTGGTACGATGATTACATCTTGAACATTTCTTTGCTATATCTACGTATCTTTTCCTGCTGTTGTTGGAGGAGTGATATTATGAAATGTCAATGCAAATAGGAGAATAACGTCATTAGTTGTCCTTGCCTTCTTTTCACATCACTTTTACTACTGTTAGAAGAATGTGGTCAAAAACGTTTGCTTCATTTGTTTGATATAAGAAGGCGGCTCATGATTATTTTTGTGCTGTGAAATAGTTTCTTTGCTTTTCACAAAAAAAAATATGCCATGTTTCATTTTAAAATCACTCGTGTATTGGAATGATACCCTCGTGATTGAAAGTTGTTGAGAAGGTATGAAACTTGAGAAAGCTGATAATAAAGATGAAATTGTTTAATAGTGAAAATTTTCATTTTAAATTATTGAAATTTACGAAAACTTAATTAACTAAGTAAAGCCAAGGTTTTTGCAAATTTTAACGTCAAAATGCGGGAAATCACATTTCCGAGGGTCTAAAATTCAAAATTTTCCGGGGGAGCATGCCCCCGGACCCCCCTAGAGGACTCGCACCTTCGGCGCTCGCAGTACTGCATCAGTCACGAAAATTGCTGGATCCGCCCCTGATGTTATTGACCAGGCAGAGTCTTAAAAAAATGATAATGCTGTAAAGATAATTGATTTATTGTCTGCCCTATCCAGAGTTATTTAATTTGATCATGGTCAAATTCTATGGATGTGTCTATGTAAACATTTGTACTGAGATTGATGACTTGATGCAGATGTGAAGCATCAAACTGTATAAGCCATTGGGTTTTATATAACTTAATGTTTAAATCATGTCATATCTTTATCAAAATATTTTAGTTGAGTGTTGTATAAATGTTACTAATATCTAATGCACTACACTGAAGCATTAAAGATTTAGTGATGAAACTTTTATAGTTACTGTACTGTATATTTCTTCATTATAACAGTTTTTGCTTTAAGAAACAGTTTGAGCTTATTTACCTAGTAAAGTACAGAATGGAGATTTATCATATGCATTATTGCTACTTTTTTAAAGAAAAGTTTTTCACTTTTCAAAGCTTTCCTACAAATTTTTTGCTTCTTATTTCTTTTCATGAGATTGATGATATATGGTTAATATAATCCAATAACTTTATAATTTCTAAAAAGCTTTTAAGCTTCTAGCATAAAAGTACACAATAGGTATTTGATTCATTTGGTTATATTGCCTTGCTATGACATATCTACTTGCACTTCATCATTCTTGTATGAACAAAACACCTGATGTGGATACTCAGAGAACAAAATGCACTACCAACTGCTTATGAAATTTATTATTGAGGTGAAAACTGTGTTGATCATTCAAATTGTGTACTTATTTGCAAATATAGGAAAAACGAAACAAAGTGAAAAAGAAAGGTAGTAGTATTAAAACTACAAATGAATTATAAACACCATTGGAAGCATAAGTGTTTTGATGATTATTTGCATTTTGCCCAATTCATATATCAATACAACAAAATCAAAATGTGCTACAACTTTACAAGTATTTGATGCAGTTGCACTTCAGAACATCACAAAAAGGTTACTTAAAGTAATTTCTATACAATATTGTTTGTTTTCATTTACCAAACCTATGCAGACTTGAGTCTTTTTGAAATTTAATATGAAACTCAATTACAGAAAATCCGTAAATATCCAGAGATTTAATATTTACTTTTTTAAAGAAACAAGTAAAAATCCAACAATTGTGGCGAAAAAAGCCATTGCCCATTGCATCATGAAAAGAAGCAAAATAGCAATGATAACAAATAAGCTAACTTCTCTCGTGAACCGTGGAGATGAACTGTGATATACTTTTTTGTATAGACTAAAGAGTTTAATCGATCAAACAAGTTTGACGCTGGTAAAAAAACGACGCACATCTGCATTCATACATGTGTAGCCGACATATAGCTCTTTCGTCGATAGTTATAAATGCATCCTCGTAGGAGCACATAACTGACAACCACAGTTGACTCGCTGTTATGAATTTAAGGTTTTTACCTTGATTTTCATCAAAAAATTGCTTGCCGAATCCCAAATACACACATAAAATTTTCCTCACTCTTTCCTCAGGAGGGAGTGGGAAATTGTGAAATTTTCAGAAAAGCGATCAATTTCGGTAAATCTCAGCGGCAACGGACGAAATCCGCCATTTTTTTGGCGTCATCAGATATCAGAGGCCGCGCTTGAGATAGCCGCTCTAGTATTATAGAACTCAATGGGTTGTATCTATTCCGTGCTACTAGATT